GTTCTCTTGGGACACTTGCTCTTGGAACCCAGCTACCATGTTGTGAGGAAGCGCAAGAGTCCATGAGGAAGGCCACATGGTAGAACCAAGGCCCCTGGCCCATAGACCGGACTGGGCTTTAATCCACCAGCCAGCACCAACTTGCCAGCCATGTGAGTGACACTTCTGAAAGTGGATCCTCCAGCCCCAGTTGGGCTGCCTAGCTGATGCCATGTGAAACAGAGATGACCTATTCCCACTGAGCCCCACCCAAACTGCAGACTCATGAGCAAAATAAACGACTGTTGCTGCTTTAAGCTACTAAGCTTTGAGGTGGTTTGTTAGGCAGTGATGGATGGCTTAAACACCAATCCAACAGATTTCCACTCTTGGCAAGTATGAATGCATCCAGAGGTGGGCCTCTTGAACTCAGGCTGAATCCCCAGCAATGATGCTTTTCCTGTTCTACACAACTGCTGTGTACAGGCTAGGCTTGGCTGTTCGGAAAGCCAGAATGACTATGGCTGTGAAAGAGGTGATATTTCAGGCCACCTTAAATTCTCTAAAATTCTAGCGCTGCCCCCCTGTTCCTGAGAGTAGCTGGGCATGCTCTCCACTGCAGCCTTAGAGAGTACAGCTACTAGCCTGTTGGCTTCAGCTCTAGTAAGTGGGAACTTTACTTTTTCACCCTGTGACCGAATACACCCTTACCAGAACCTAAGTCCAGAAACCAAGCTTGTTCCTTATCACCCCTATCCCAAGCCCTGGTTTTTCCTCACATGATATACCATTTCCACTGGCCCTGGGGTCCTGCCTCCACTGCCATCCTGCAGCTTCTGTCACTTCTTATCTCAGTCTGTACCCATCTTGAGGCCTCCTTGACAATGACTGACGCCGCCTTCGACACTTTCCTATTGCTTATTACTGAGGAGGCAGAGTAGTATAGTGGTTCAAAGCACGTGCTTTGGCATTGGGGTGACATGGGACAAGTGTTTATAAGTTCTCTAAACTTGCCTGAAGAGTGTATTGTGAATATTACAATGGGATGATGTGCTAAATGTTTAGCGCCTTATGGCCAGGATTGCGACCTCATTTGATTCGCAATATTCTTTCACCGCTTCTTCAAAGAAAGCCCTTATTCTTGGGTCTGATAACGTACCCACCATAGAGCTACAGTTCCCTGCTGCCTTGCAGATAGGTTGGCCAATGAGCTGCAGGCCAAGTTGTTTCATTGGGCTGGCGGGAAAGCTCTTTACAGTGGCTGCCTTAGACGGGAGGCTCACCCCCACGCTGGTTCCCTCTCTCTCCTTCTTGTGGATATGGTGCTGGAGCTGGAGCAACCATCTTGGATCATGTGGCGAGCCCAAGGGTGCACGCTCTGCAATGATGGAGGTGGGGAGACTTAGCAGGAGCTCAGGTGACCGTGGAGGTACCATGCCAGCTTACCTCTGTGCTCCTTCACGTGTGGGAAAAAACCATCTTGTTGAAAACAATTTTATTTTGTGTCTCTAGTATTAGAGGCTGAACTTAATTCCTAACGCATAGTAAATGTTAGTCAGGATTATTGTTCTCTGTGAGCATCATTTCCCTAACTCTGTGGGACATCTGCTTTTTGGGTCCAAGCCATCTCCAGGCTGATCTGTCCCACCACTTTAGTCACTTAGCCATTCTGGTTAAAACAGGAAAAAAATACACACCGAAGTAGACTCTAGGGGTGTATCATTGCCATAATTGACCGGGTTTCACGTTAGTTGGGACCACAGGAAGGAATTTTTCTCCACATTGTTTGTCAATGTACTGACTAGTTTTTGTGGTCTGCAAGAATGCATCCTTATTCAAGGATGTTTTCATATTATCCACATTTATGAACCTACCAGTTAGCCTCGCTCTGACTGTTATAATGTCAAGGTGTGGAAAATGAGATTAGAAGTAAAGCCACGAAGAAAAGTGAGTAATCAGGGAAAAGAGAAGGTTTTATCGCTAAGATTTTTCCATTTTTACTGATTTTTTTTTCTTTTTGGTGAGGAAGATTGGCCCTGAGCTAACACCTGTTGCCAATCTTCCTCTTTTTTTTTTTTTTTGCTTGAGGAAGATTGTTGCTGAGCTAACATCTGTGCCAATCTCCCTCTATTTCATGCAGGATGCCACCACAGCATGGCTTGATGAGTGATGCTAGGTCCGTGCCTGGGATCCAAACCTGTGAATCCCCGGCTGGCAAAGTGGAGCACACAAACTTAACCACTATGCCACCAAGCCTTGGTTATTTTTAAATAACCAAATAACCAAAAATATTTTTAAAAATTACATTCCCATAGACAATTAAAATTTTATTCCTCAATTTAAAAATATTTTGTAAGGAAGAAAAAGACAAAAATGTGTAATAATATCTTTTAGATACACAGAGAATCCATTAATTTTTTGGTCTAGACAATTTTGTATAAAGCAGGTTCAATGCTAGAAGAATCTTTGAATTCGTATTGCTTCATTTATTTAAAGAGGCCTATGGATCAAAAGAATACAATTATAAAGGTAACAATCCTTCTTTTCCATAGTTATAGAAGTTAAGATAAAAGAATTTTCCTTTAGAAAGATGCATCATTCACTACTTTTGTCATCAACATTTTAGTAAACAAATATCTTACCTTCAAATAAACGTTTATTCTAAATAGTGATATACGTTAATGACATACAAACTAATGAAGAAAATATACTTTCCTCCTATCTTATAGTGCTTTATTTTTCAATTAAATTTAGAAATGCTTTGCAGTTTATCACTGCTGAATGAGCAATTTAGCATACAAGCCTGCATGTACTTATTTATTTTTATAAAAACCACGCAGCTGGGAATAGAATAATTTGTACATATATGTACATGTATACCTGACATTTATAAAGCCAGAAGTCATAAAGGAAACAGATTATTGTATATGTTATTCGCAGCATGCGAGGTAAGAGAATAAACCCAGAACCTTCAATCAGTCTTAAAACTTCGATAGTTTTGCAAATTAGTTCTAAGCAGTACCAATGGGACCATTTCTTCCATGAGGCTTACAAGGTAGAATTCATATGTTGCTGGGACAAAAACCCAGTGACGACCTTACTGACCTCCTGAGGAAATACTTTTCATTGCTTGTAAAATGAGAGAATCTAACATAGTATTTTTTTACATGATTCTCACTTAACTTTAAAAGCAAGATACACACATAGTAAATTATTACTAATCTATCAGATTATTTTTTAACTTCTTGAATAACTACAATCCCTGCTCTTTCTGAAAACTGGCATTTATTAAACATGCAGACTTTTCACATGTTTCTGGTGTTATTTATAATTTCAGGGGTTTCACCTAAGTCAGAGTAATACAATCATTACTCTCGACCAATCTTTACAGGGGGAAAAATGTTGCTTACTGTTTTTAGTATCTACGTATCATTCATTTAATCCTTTCCATATAGACCAAAAAAGTGAAAAATGTGAAGAATATGCTTTTTTGTAAAAAGTCCAGTTACTTATTTATAACGTACCAAAGGCCAGTGATGATAATGTGATGTGAACTGAGGAGGATGATGCCCTGAGCCCTCTGCAGCCGAAGTCAAATTGTAGAAAAACTCATCTTCCTCTGGTTGTGTTAAATAGTCAACATTATATTTCTAATCTTGTACAGCACTGGAATTAAAGTCTTCATGGTCTTATAAACACTTTGGTTTAGGAATTTAATTTCTTCCTTCCTTCCTTTCTTTTTTTGCTGAGACAGATTTGCCCTGAACTAGGTGGGTTGCCGCCACTGCATGGCCACTAACAAGTGGTGTAAGTCTGTGCCCAGGAAGCAAACCCAGGCCACTGAAGCTGAGTGTGTTGAACCTGACCACCACACGGCCAGCCCAGGAATTTATTTTCTTAAAATATCATTTCAAAAAAGAGCTTAGAGCATCTATACAGTTGACAAAAAAGTTTTATTTTATATAATTGTATGGACTGCTATGTCATGAACATGACATATTGTTTAGAAAAGGTAATAGGGCAAGAAACAACCCCCCAAACCCCCACCCTAGGTATATACAAATAACCACCCCAAAAGGACTAAGTGGAAAATAAAATTCTGATGTCAGACAAGACAGTATCAAGGCAATGTCAAAAAGCTGCTCAAAAAATAAGTAATTCAGGCAATTGGTTGTTTGGGCTTTGCAATTATTAATAACCAACTTGACTAATTCCACTCCACACTAATATACAGTGACTCTTCTGGTTATTCTAAGATCAAAGAAATGAGTCAAGCTACTCTGGACTGCCTGTTGTAGATGTTAAATGAAAACGCCAGAATTCATCCTGAGTGTCTTCTGAGTGTGAAAAAAGGAGCATGTGTAAATTTAATTCAGTAGAAAATTTAAATTTAATTCAGTAGAAAATTTCAATGTTTTCCCCACAATGAGAATTTCAGCAGTGTCTTCCCAGTGTGAAACCGTGTCTTATCACTCTGCTTTATTCAGAATTTGTACTAACTCTGACAGAAGTTGCAACTAAAGTCTACGTTTTATGTTTACTCAACATAAGGGCGTTCTTCTGGAGATGGTGCAAAGTGATAGTCTAAACAACCAAAATAAAAGAATAGACAAAGGTATTGTGTGTGTGTGTGTGTGTGAGAAAGATTGGCCCTGAGCTAATATGTGTTGCCAATCTTCCTCCTTTTGCTGAGGAAGATTGTCACTGAGCTAACATCTATGCCAATCTTCCTCTATTTTACATAGGATGCCGCCACAGCATGGCTTGATGAATGGTGCTAGGTGGGCGTTCGGGATCTGGGCCTGCGAAGCCACAGAAGCAGAGCTTGCGAACTTAACCACTACTCCACTGGGCTGGCCTCAAGACAAAGGTATTTTTTAAAGCACTCAACTATGTTGTTAGAGCTATGAAGGTGACCAGCAAAAGCATCCGTCACCCTGTGGATATCAAGGTTGACCCATGCCATGTGCTTGTATTTGGATAACAATGACCTTCCCAGAGAGAGGAGCCACATCACTGAGTTAAGATTGATATTTTCACATATTTATTAAAACAAGTTTCCTGAGGAGTTCAACTAGGCAATGTTGTTAACCCAGTTTGCATAAAATGTACAAAAATGCAATACAACTTATACATCTTTAAAATATTCTAAAGTCAGATTTTGCTTTGATTGAATGCTCAACTACATAAAGTTCATAAGATTTTTACTAGCAACAATCCAAATCAGAAAATTAAGCTTGGGTTTAAAAGCAATTCTTAAAATTATCATAAATTTATGATGCCTATTGATTGAACAGTAACAAAAAGATACAGGATGCTAGAATTGACCCTTGACTCTTTTGCCCCTTACTAACTTCATATATCTTGCCAGAATGAACTATCTTAAAAAGTGCAATTATATGTACAATTATAGAGGTTAGTACATTTTTCAGATATAAACTCAATGACATGTTGCTGAAGCTTGCTTCTTCTGGAATTTGAGTAATTTTAAATATTGAATGAAAATATTTTTTATCATATCATAAACTATTGCTTCATCAAAGTGAGATTCCAAGACCCCTTACACTTCTCTGAACTCCTGAAGTTCATCATTTGATAGGATTGGATGAAGTTTACAGGCCTAACTGTTCCGCAAACATCTTAGATACCTGGGGAGAGAAAGGAGCAAGCTGAGACTCTTCTGAGAGTCAAAACGTTGATGAGAAACAGGGTGACGACATAAGCAGAAACAGTGATTCAGAAAATGGCAGTTTTGGTGTAAATATCTGTGAGTCACTGTGAACCACAAGTTGAATATGGATATGCAAAACAGCAATGGAAACAAAAAATGCCATATTAGGATGTGGTAATGAGGATAGGACAGAAAACTGTTGAAATTCTGTACCTGGAAGACCGTCTTTGGCCAAAGCTCTCTGCAGTCCCAGGACGGCACAGGACAGTGGCTACACACAACTAGAGAGTTCTGTCTTTCATTGCATGGAAAGGCCTCCCCGGCTTGGGACTCTGCCTTTACAATTATGGGCAAAGTTCAGAAGGCAAGTATTTATTAAAGGGATTCTGAAAGGGAGGAGAAGGGCGGTTTTCTGTTGTGCATTGAGGCAGCCTTTCAAACACAAGATCCCAAAATTCAGCAGCAAACGTTTGGTGAACCTTGTCTCCCCCTCAGTTTCTGCATGGGGAGTAAAATAAATAAAGTTTTTACTCTTTGTTGCTTTCCTGGAATAAAATATCACATGTCGTTGAAGAGCTGAGAGCTCCCAATTTGCTAGATTGCTTTAAAGGTCAGAATTAGAAAAGTAAGAATTAAATGGAGATTGATTTTACGTGAGTGGGAGTGATAAACAGGCCCTTCTGCATTTTGCTCCATTGCTTCTAGCACGAGGATGTCAACAAATATCACACAGAATGTCACCTCTGATGGAATGACAATGACCTCCTGGAGAGCTGTGTTGAGGAGGGCTGGAGGCTTGTCCCAGCCTGGCAGGAAAGAATACTGAGTGCGACAAGCGATGTCTACCACAGGCACAGATAGTCCCTATTCCTAGTCTGTTGGTTTCAAATGACCTTAAGGACCTCAGAGACATAGAAGGGTGGCAGACGACCCCCACCTGCACACACTCCCCGCCCACATATCACATGCCAGGGAGGTGTGGTAAGCACAAGAATGAGCTTTGGGGAAACGCGATTTTAGCTGAGAAGGAAAACATTTGCTCTTTCATTGAAGATTCCTATTCCTCTGAGAAGTGCCCAAGGGTGACCGGATCTGGCCAACTCAGGGTCCACAAGTCACCATGCAACATCTTCCCAGGACTGTGGACTCTCTCACTGTGCCTTCTTGGCAGGTAGAAAGGGGCTTACCAACCTCCTGGGATGGTGTATACAGTGAAACACTTGCTTTGTTGGCTGTCTTTTCCAGGCCATAACTCACGTTGAGAAAATTTCCTGCTGAAGGCAAGTGACCTGTCAGAGGACTTGACTACTCCAAGGAAATTATCCAAAGCTAGTTAGGTAATAAGGTGACCCAGAAGGAAACCATGAAAAGACAGCTTCCTGATTTAAACCCTAAGGAATGAAGAAGACAGGTAACAAGGACTTAGAGGGCATGGCCAGATTGAGACCAGTCAGCTAGAGGTTGGCTGAGAGGAGGGAACACCCATCGATTAGAGGTGAATGCATCATATGCCTCCTCCACCCTCCACAGTGGACGTCTGCCAGGCCTTTTCCTAGTACTTCTCAATCGCGCCTTCTTCCAAGCACAGGTGATGCCATCGTTAGGAAGAGCGGGTGTTGGAAAAAACAGCAAAAGGTTCTCGTGTCTACGTTGATTTTAAATTAACTGAATTTGTATCCTCTTCATCCTCTGTTGGCAGGCCCAGCAGGCTCCCTTCGGGGCTGCTTCTCTTGGAAAACATCAGCACCATTCAGTTTTAGGATTCATTGTCACTGTAAAAAATAGAACAATAGTATATTTCCAAGAAGCTACCGAGAGCTGGTCACTCTACTAGTGAGGTGATCAAGAGAGCATAAACAGTCAGGAAGCCAAGAGCATCCAGTTTACAATTTCTAAAACAAAGATCGGTTTGGATTTTATATTTGACCCTGAGGAGGAAATCCATGAAAGCCAAGAAATAGTCCTAGCTCTTGTTCCAATACCCCTCCCCAGGGCCGACATGCAGAGAACCAGATGGAGTTGGGGGTTTCCCCTTTTAATTAAGTCTAATCCCATTCTCTATGAATAGATGCCAAATTGCCTTTTAAAAAAATTTCCATGTGTTGTTTTCCCTCAAGAGTTTCTGGTCCTGGCATGTTTTCAAAAGCCCATTTTGTTCATATCCACAAAGGATCCAGAAGTGCCTTCTCAGTGTCATTTAGAATTCAATCATCAGGCATCTTGAGGTGTGAGCTGACATAAATTATGGACGTGGTATTTGGACGTGACTGTGCTGGTTGGCTAATGTGTGCTTTTGTTTCTAACTTGGCTCCCTTTGCCACATACATGGTTGTGTGGCTTTTTCCTGGTGAGACCACGCCTCCACCCAAGACTCCTGGGAATCAGGCCACGCGACCTCTCCTCCCACCTCTCTTTTTAGTTTTGTGCCCCTTCACCCAAATTCTAGCACGTCTCTGCTTGAAGTGACCTCTGTCTCCAAGGAACTGCCTGACTGTCAATAACCAACATGACCTGGCATCTCCTTAGCTCATGGGCGTGTATAATCTGCAATGGACTAAGAATTTCTGACTCCTACTTCAGTGCTCTGCTGCTCAGTGAAACACAGTGTTTCCAAAAGGACTTTGAAGCAACTTGATAGATAGATAGATAGATAGGTAGATAGGTAGATAGGTAGATAGATGGATAGATAGATAGATAGATAGATAGATAGATGATAGATCTATCCATGAAAGGGGAGGAGAGACATTGTGTGTATGTTTGTGTGTTTGTGTTTGTGTTCTAAAGTCAGGAGAAGAGGCTATGATAAGGAAGGATGATCAGTGAGAAAGAAGGGGGAAGGCAGAAGTGAACAAACGGACAACTTCTGTAGCAAAATTAATTTAAAATGGAAACCTGATGGAAAATTAAGCCATTTTTATCTGAAGAGTAGACGTACTCTTGGCTGAAGTCATCCTGAACAACACTTGAACTGGGCAAGGAGGTTTCATTTCTTGGAAACTGGGTGGTAGCGTGAAAATATCTCTAAGATCTAGGAGTTCATCTCTACAGAGCATAGGTCTCTGAATTGCCTGTTTTCCTTTTGTGGCCTTATCTTGAAATTTCAGCTACTCTAAGCAGAGTATATCACAAAGCTGAATAGCAATGGACACAATTCCTCTTTTGTCCCCAGAACTGATCTGTGTCCAGCAGTTATAAAAGAAGTGATTTTTTAATATTAATTATTATAAAACCAATCCATATTCGTTGTTGGAAAAATAGAAAATACGAATAAGCAAAACAAAAATACTAATACTCTCAATACAATTAACATTTTGGTATTTATTTTTCCGTGATAATGATATATACTCCTTTTGTACAAAAATGGGATCATATGGTACACATTGTGCTGTAATCTGGTTTTCTCACTCTCATTTACATACAGACATCTTCCCTTTCTAGTAAATATACAGTAGCTTTTTCGTTGCTACAGACCATTGCATTATCTCACTAGACCAAAAACAAGTTTTTTAGCTATATCCTTACTGTTAAACATTTAGGCTATTTCCAATTTTTAGTTTCATTTATTATAAAATTGCTACATCTTTGCACCCTTCCAATTGTTAATCTTTGCATAAATACCTAAAGAGGAATTGCTAGGTTAAAATGTATGCCATTTTAAAGCTGGACTACCCCATTGTCAGATTACCTCCCCTCCCTAGAAATTTTGTACAATTTACCTTCTCCCAACACTTTCCTTTAGGGAAATATCCTTTTTCCCACATCTTCTCCAGTGCTGGATATTATTTCATTTTTTTATAAATCCAATAGGTGAAAATAGTATCATATTTATCTTTACTTCTTCTTTGCTAACTTTTTTTTTATTACTAGGAAGAATAAACATTTTTTTCAAAGCTCTATTAGTAATTTTCATTTCTTCTTTGCTGAATTGCTTATTGATATTGTTTGCTCATATTTAAAATGAGACAATTATCTTTTTTATTGGTTTCAGTATTAAGAATAATAATTTTTTGTTCATTATATATATTACAAATACTTTTCCCCAGCTTATCACTTTCCTTCTAATTTTATTTACTGTGACTTTGAAGTACAGGAAATTTGAGGTTTTAATGCAGCTAACTCCATCCTTTTCTGATATGGTTTCTGACTGTGTGTCACGCTTTCAAATTAGTCCCCACCCTAAAATTATAACATTTACCTATATTTTTTCCCTTTTTTAAATGCTTAAACTTATCTGGAGTCTATTTTAATCTAAAATGTGAGGGAGAGTTCTAAGATCTCCCCCTAAATGTTAGTTGGCTGTCCCAAAACTATTGATTGAATAACCCACTTGCATGATATGCGACTTTTATAATATATTAAATGTTAACATATTCTTGAGGCTGCTTTTGAAAAATATTCTATTCTATTCCAATAATACATCTTGTTTGGTTCTGAGTGTACACAGTTAATTCTCAGAGCATGTTCCCTGCAATTCCCCCCTCATCTCACTATTGCTCTCCTTCCTTCTTTTAGAATTGTCCTTAGGGTCAGCAGTTAAGTTCACAAGTTCTGATTCAGTGGCCCAGGGTTCGCGGGTTCGGATCCTGGGTGCAGATCTATGCACTGCTTCTCAAGCCGTGCTGTGGTAGGCGTCCCTACCACAAAAAAAACTAGAATTGTCCTGGCTATTTGTGGGCAGTTATTCTTCCAGATGAAAGCTTCATGGGGATCTTTAAGAAATTGGGTTGAATTTGCAATAATAATTTTTACATTGTTGAGTCTTTCATTCAGGAACACAGTATGTCTCTCTCCATTTGTTTAAAATCTTTTATGTCCGTCAATGAAAATTTGAACAATCTCTTTTTATATTACCCCATGCATTTTTTGGTGATTTTTTTTTTTTTGAGGAAGGTTAGCCCTGAGCTAACTGCTGCCAATCCTCCTCTTTTTGCTGAGGAAGACTGGCCCTGAGCTAACATCCGTGCCCATCTTCCTCTACTTTATATGTGGGACGCCTGCCACAGCATGGCTTGACAAGTGGTGCCATGTCTGCACCTGGGATCGGAATTGGCAAACCCCGGGCCACCGAAGCGGAATGTAACTGCTGCGCCACCGGGCTGGCCCCTTTTTGGTGAATTTTATGCCTGAGTACTTCACATCTCATATTGCTTCTATGGTAGTACTTATGCTGGCATGTGCTAACAGTGGCTTTCTAGCCCCGCAGATAAGAGCCCTGGGTCAGACAGCCAGAGCTTGAATGGCCAGAACCAATTCCTTGCTGTGTGACCTTGGGCAAGTTAACCTTTCTTAGCCTAAATTTTCTGTTCTCATCTCAAATGAAAAACATACATAACAATAGCATGTATCTTACAAGGTTGTTGTAAAGAATAAGTGAGAAAGTGGAGGTGACGTACCATGCTACAGATCTGACACACAGACACGGGAATGTCTGTTATTCTTATTCTGCAGAGTTTCCACTAGCAAGTGTTTGTCAGGTAAACGTGAGCTCGAACATTGCTTCAAATATCCAACGGCTTTAAGAAACCATCTTCCAAAACAAACTTTCAGTTTCTGAGGAGGAGGTTCTTAAATGTGGTTTGTTTCGAACACTCCACAAGCATTCTGAAGGCTTAGCGTGGGACACTGTCCACCAACCAGAACGCGTTTACTCAAAGCACCAAGAGCACAGGAGCTCATGCATGGCACTTACTGCTACAGCTCTGTGGTCTGTGAGCAACGGGACAGGCCCCGCCGCACAAGACACCGTCCCAATGTGGGTACAAGGTGCTTCAGCTGTGGGACATCAGGTCATTCCTGGTGTTGCAACTCTCACGTGCAAATTTTCGCCAGTGGTGTGATAGCCATCAGGCTTGTTATTAAGTCAGCCACCTGGGATCTGGCCCAGACGCTGAGCTGGAGGCATTCTCTCTCTCCAGCTCATTCCTTTATTTAGTTAGACGTGTTTCCCGCTGTCTTTGTGGCTATTTATCATCTCTGTGAAATGATCAAATAAGCCCAGACATTTCTAACTCTGGCAAATCCTAGAGTTCCCGGTTAAAAATATCTTGGCAAACTGCCTCAGAATTGCAACAAATAGAATAAGTGATCCCGCTGCAAACCTCGATTGCTTGCCTCGATGCTAATCCGTACAGTTTTAGTAACTTATCTATGACAGCGGCATTAGTAATTTTTCTCGGAGTGTTATGTAGATATTTTAAGAATGTGAGACAACTTTCCCAAAGCCTGTATAGTAACAAGGCTTCAAAGTGTAAAACAAATTGAATTTAATTAAGAAGCATCATCTCATTATTTTTAAGAAAGCATTTAATTGGAACGCTACCAGTTAAATGAGGACAGATGCAACCCCAACACCTTGTTTCATAACTGCCCCTTTGTTGCAGTCAGGATCAGATAAGCCAGCTTTGTTCTCCTGACCAGTTTATCTTGTAACAATCCCTCTTTATGACCACAGCTAGTGTTCGCGATCTCTGAGGATGGCAATAAACCTACGCTAGACCACTCTGGCACTATGAGGCTCTCTGACTTGGTTTTGGGGGAGTGCAGAGTTCAGTTTAGCACAAAGTCATGTAACGATTAGCTCATGCTCCCTTTCTCTTCATCAATATAACATCCCTCCTTCCCGAAAGAGGCCTGGCCCAGTTGGAATTATGGAGGTCACGCATCTGGCTAATATCAGAGACAGGCCTAGAATTAGTCCAAGACACATAGATCATGCCCATAGTGTAGACATAATCTGGGCCACTATTCAAGCAATGCCTTGGTTTATTAAATT